TAAAAAGTTGGTACCTATTTCTTTCATATTTCCTAGATAATTCGGTTTCGGTAGTTTCCCATGGTTTTGATTGGCATTTGGTTTGGTATCGATTTTCCGGATTTCTGTAACTGACTGCTGACATCACTTTAACGAAAAACTTCTATAACCACAAGCGTCCTTAGTAAGGTCATTTAAACGTCATGCAATTTCTTCAATGTAAATTATAAACATGGGACCTTGGCCAAAATGGCAGTTCTCCCCGCTAATTAATCATGGTGAGACATAGGCGCGGGAGCCGGGGGGGGGCAGTGGGGGCAGCTTGCCCCCCCCCCCCCAACTCTGGGGCCGTGGGGGCGGTGCCCCCACAGCTTTGAGACGGAATACCACACTTTTTTTGCAAATGTTTTCTTTTTCGTTGAAAAAGCCGAGGGGTGAAAAATAAGTGGCCCAAAACCGGTGAGAAAACTAGAGTTGGGGGTACCCTAGGTTGATCTCTATTATGGTGTGCCCCCCCCCCCCAGTCGGAAAGTAGTTCCCGCGCCCCTGTGGTGAGGGTACTGACCGACCTGACCTCAAGTGATCCTCACAGGCAGGGGTGTAACTTTTGCTTTTGAGATGGGGGTGCACTTGGTGATGGGGGCGACCTTCAATGAGGGTAGGGGCGCTTCCAAGGAGCGTAGATGGTGCATATCTCTCAACAGGCGCGCACACAGGATTTTTGAACGGGGGGGGGGGGGCACGACCTGCAAACTGGGGCCCTCCATGCCGAAGGGCCCCAGGCTCCAGCCGAAAAAGTTTCCCAACGCGATTATATTTCGGTTGACTTGAAACTAAGCTTCTGTCGATACATGATAAAACAATTACCTCAGTACCCGTTCAATTTTCAAAGCATTTAATATTCCATTTTTGTTTACGCAGCGTGTTTTATTCACATACGATTCAGTGAGTAATTATCAACATCTTAACAATTACGTAAAATATTCGATTAATAAGCGTGGATGCAAGGCCCTCAGAAATCAGCGCGGGTAGCGCCTGCCTGCCGGCCGGCCGACCGACCCAGCCTGGCTAGAAGCGTAGGCTAGTCACGGGTTGGTCCGGATGTGTATGAGCGGGGCAGCACCCCCTTTGTCAATTCGCGCATTTACTAATGCACATCGACATGAAAAGTCATTACAATGATTCGTAGCGAGATGACAAACCAGAAATTTAACGTTTTTTTCTCATTTTTATACCACATACCTACTACAAAGACACAATTTTGAGGCGGCATGCCCACTTTCCTAGTACCAGTCGTAACAGATATTCAGGAAGCCCGTAGCAGGGCACGTACGGCGGCCCCGATCACCCACCTCTCGCTGTCCCGGCGGCGTGCGAGGGACCCACGGCGACCGCGCACCTCACCGACAAAGCAGCACTGTCACAACGAAGAAGCCCTCAAAGGGCCCGAAAATCCAAGGGCCCTTTGAGGCCTACTGAGGGCCGTTTGACGTCAGCTGAGGGCACTTTGGACCTAGCTGATGGCCCTTTGAGGCCTTCTGAGCGCCATTTGACGCCAGCTGAGGACCATTTGATGTCAGCTGAGGACCCTTTGAGGCCTACTGAGGGCCCTTCGACGCCATTTGAGGGCCCTTTGAGGCCTTTTAAGGACCCTTTGACGCCAGTCGAGGGCCCTTTGAGGCCCTCTGAAGGCCGTGTGACACCAGCTGAGGACCGTTCGACGTCATCTGAGAGCCCTCTGACACCAGATGGGGGCCTTCTGACGCCAGCTAAGGGCCCTTTGAGGCCTTCGGAGGGCCGTTTGACTCCATCTCATGGTCTTTTGACGCCCTTCAAGGCCTTCTGAGGGCCCTTTGACCCCAGCTGAGGGCCCTTTTGAGGTCTTTGGAGGGCCATTTGACGCTAGCTTAGGGCCCTCTGACGCCAGTTGAGGGTGCTCTGACACCAATTGGGGGCCTTCTGACGCCAGCCAAGGACCCTTTGACGCCTTTGGAGGCGTTTGACGCCGGCAGAGGGCCCTCTGACGCCCTTCAAGGACTTCTGAGGCCGTTTGATGTCGGCTGAGTGCCCTTTGATGCCATTTGAGGGCCTTTGATGACATCTGAGGGCCCTTTAAGGCCTTCTGAGGGCCCTTTGACGCCAGTTGAAGGTCCTTTGGGGCCTTTTGAAAGTTGTTGAAATTTGACATCTATTAACTTCCCCTTGACTGCGCTGGACATTGTATGACCTCATTTGGGCCTGCTGGGGTCCGAGATGGGCCCTCCTGGTCTTATTAATCGTCATTTCAGCTCATTTTAGACAGTCTTCGGTGGTATTAAGATTAGGGGCCAATTTGAGGGCCATTTGAGATGGTCCCCCTTTCGAATGCGGGGGGGGCATGGGTCCGTGTGCCCCAATTGTGTGCGCCTTTGTCTCTCAATTTCGGTAAAATGCTTTGTTGGTATATTTCGAAATTCAGATTAAGAGTGATCACCATTTTGTGTTCCTCCGATTTAGTTTGAACACAGTCTGATGTTGCAAATGGGATTGCAGTTCATTTATATTAACCCAAGGCCCTCTAACCGGCGCACCGATAAACGGATGTCAAGGCTTCTACTTGTAGGTACAAAAAACTTTTGAAATAAAATGAATATTTTTTCATGTACAATTTTAATTGTATGAACACTTAACACCCAAATGTTAGAGTAAAATGGTACAAAATTGGGTATTAGGTACGAAATGACATTAAATTCGTTTGCACGAATATCAATCAATTGAATTTATAACGAAATTGCATTTTACTTTTTTATTCCAACTTTTTATAGAATCGGGGTGCCCTTTTTATGCTCGGCGGCTGGTGACACCCACTTTTGCTGGAATCACCTTTTTTTATTGGGCGCCTTTCTACTGCTGGGGTCGCCTCTCTCTTGCTGAGGTCACCCCTCTTCTGCTCGGCGGGACTTACTTCTGATGGGCGCTCCTCCTCTGCTGGGGTCTCACTTTTCTGCTGGAAGTGCTGGAGTCTGACAATTTCCTTCCCGGTTATGCCCTATTTTTGCTAGAGGCGTCCCTCTTCTGCCGGGCGAGCCCAACTTCTGCTTAAGTCGCTCGACCTTTTCTACTGAGTGCGCCCTTCTTGTGCTCGGCGAGCCCAACTGCCGCTTGACGTGTCCCATTTTTATTGGATGCGCCCCCTTCTGCGGGCGGCGCCCCTCTTTTGCGTGGCTGTCCCTCTTCTGCTGGAGGCGCCCGTCTTCTGGTGGCGGCGCCCCTCTTCTGGTGGAACCGCCCCTCTTCTGTGGGTGCGCACTCTTCTGCTAGAGCGCCCTCTTCTGCTCAGTCAACTCAACTTCTGCTGAAGGTGCTCGGCTATGTCTGTTGGGGACATTGCGCTTTTGCTGGGGAGCCCCTGTTCTGCTGGGGATGCCCCACTTCCACCGGAGCCGCTGGGGACGCCCCACCTCTGCTGGGGGCGCCCCCGGCCCCACTGCTGCTGGACGAACCCAACTTTTGCTCCAGGTGCCCCTTTTGTATTGGGGCGCATCTCTTCTTTAGGCATCCCTCTCCTGGTAGGGCGCCCCTTTCTGGTGTGGCGCCCCTTTCTACTGGGGGCTCCCTTATGCTCGGGGTACTCCTCTTATGCTGGGGGCGCCCCACTACTGCTGGACGAGCCCAACTTTTGCTTGAGGTGCTCCATTTATATTGGAGTGCTTCTCTTCTTCTGGAAACATCCCTCTTCTGGTGGGGCGCCCCCTTTCTGCTGGGGAGTCATCCTTGTGCTGAGGGCGCTTCTTTTCTGCTGGAGGCATCTCTTCTGGTGGGAGCCCCCTTTCTGCGGGGGTGCCCTTCTTCTGTTGCGGCGCCCTTCTTCTGGTGAGGCGCCCCTTTCTGCTGGGGTCGCCCGTGTTCTACTGAGGGCGCTCTTCTACTGGGCGAACCCAAGTTCTGCTTGAGGTGCCTCATTCCTATTGGGGACGCCTATCCTCCGCTGGGGCGCCAGTCTTCTGCTTGACGATCCCAACCTACGTTGGAGGTGCCCCACTTCTGCCTCGGGCGCTCCACTTTTGCTGAGAAAGTCCGGTTCTTGTCGGGGTGCCCCTTTCACCCATTTTTGGGGAACGATACGACTGGACGCTTCCCAAGCCCGCAAGCAGCACGACGCCGGTCACGAGACGGAATGTAGCCGAGAAATTACCCTCGCCATCTGCTAAAGAGCTTAGCGGTGTCGGGCGGCGTGTGGGGCGCCGCTTAGCCTATGGGGGTGCACTTTGACGTGATGGGGGTGCACTTTCAGGGGATGGGGGTGCACCTGCACCCCCATACATATAGAAAGTTACACCGCTGCTCACAGGCATTCCCTTGAGAAACTAGATTCTAAAGTAGAAGCCTTAGTGGGCGATAGGAATTTAATTAAAACTTTAGCACAATGCCTCCAATTAATGTTCAGGGAAGTTCACTTAATTCCAAATTGCCGGCGCTTAGTTGAAGCTTTTGCTAAGAAACTTAACGGTTCAAATTAACTGCATTCCTGCCCAGTGGCGCCAGTGCCCATTGCCCAGTATGATGCCGTAATTCACAGATGGGGATTGCAGTGCTTACTGGAACTTGATAGTCCGTGTTGGTGGGATACGTGAATCTTGCACAAGTGTAGCGGGGCCGATATTTTGAACATGAAAAAGAACTCCCTTACGGCTTACAGCGATCAGTACTGACCTGATGATGCCTTTGATCGCCCCTCTCCACCTCACCCTTTTGCCCGCCCCGCCCCAGGGAGGCGCCTGCGGGTCGGGCGGACTTCCCAGTGGGCCGACACCCTTACTACCTGTTCCGGGGTTCCCGACCACCACCACCACCATCGGCAGCGGAACCCGGCTCATGTCAGGGGCGCGACCTTCGCCCGGGGGCTGTCGGCTGCGGGTCGCTCGCTCGCGCGGCGGGCGGTGCGTCTCGGCCGGCGCCGCCCCTCAGCCGCCGACGGGGGCCGGCGCAGGCGCGCTGCGCGCCGGCAGGTGGCCGTCGTCGATTCGATAACGTGTCAGTTGGTCAGGTGAGCGGCGCCGGGGCGGAGTGGCGTGCCGGACCCGCTGGTCTTCGTCTGCCGGTGAGTAACACGCGCGCCGCGCCGCGCGCGGAAGGGTGCTGGGCGGGTGGTGAGGGCGACTCAGGTGCGCCGGCCGTCACAGGTGGTCACGGCGTCACACACCTGTGGCCGCCAGTGTAAACACCCTGTCAGCCCGTGTGACGGTGTGCCCGTGACGGCCGCCCGGCACAAGGGAACCGGTCAGTGTGTGACTTGACGCCTTGCGTAACACGCGGCACCATCGTACTGCGGAATGTTGCCGTGCAATGGACACCATATGCTGGGAAATTGTGGATGGCGTGTTTCCAAAAACCAGGGCGGTGGTGTTCAACTGTGAATCATCAAAATGTCAACAGCTTAACTTAAACTGCTGCGTAAAACCAAATACTCTCTGTATATGCAGTATGCTTATTACTTCCACTTCGTCGGCGAATCAAAAGCGTACGGCTTGTGATGCACTAAATAATGTACCTAGCAATTGTAAAGGATATCATCATATATGCCACATAACTCATTACATTTTGGTATGTGAGCCAATCCACACCTTTTTTGCCTGACGGTTCTGGATGGATTCACTACAATTTTCAGTTTGAGTATGTGTGGCTTATTTATATCTCGACGTGTGAATGCGATACACAGGCGCGCGCTCCTGTGACTGCCAAGCATGATCATTGACTCAGCTGTTTGAGCATCAGGGACCGCGGATTCCGGGGGGCAGGGTGTGCAATTGCACACCCTGAAAATCCTGAGGGTGTGCAAACACCTATTTTTGCACACCCACAGTTCGTTGTGGGAGCCCATGCGGCCCTGGCGCTTGAGTGTTCCAAGCCGATTCTCGAGGGCCCCAGCGCGAACCTGATGGTCCCGCACCGGTGCCTGAAGGCGTGAACAGGTTCTAGTGTTATCTCAGGGGTTATCTCAGAACCCCACCCACGCCATTTTTAGCGCTCCCACCGGCTCTTGAGGGCCCAGGCCGATGCCCGAGGGCCCCAAGTCGATGTCTAAAGGTCCCACGCCGGTGTCTGAGTACCTACATGGCTAGCTCAGGGATCCACGCCAGTTTCTGAGGGCCCTAACCGGCTCTTGAGGTCCCCTTGCCTCCTGCCCTCCTTAGCTTCCTCTTGGGGCCGATGCCTAAGGATCCTGCATCAGCACCTGAAAGCCCACAGAGTTATCTCAGGGCCCCATACCAGTTTCTGAAGGCCCTCACCGGCTCTTGAGGGGCCCCAGACCGATATCCAAGGACCTCTGGCCAATGCCCGGGGGCGCAGGCCGATGCCCGAGGGCCCCAAGCCGTTACCCGAGGGCCTTACACAGCTATCTCAGGGTATAATGCCACTTTCCGAGGACTCTAACCGGCTCTTGAGGGCCCCAGGCCGATTTCTGAGATCCCCAGGCTGATGTGAGAGGGCCGACCGACTGAGGCGGCCCCTACGTCAGTTTCTAAGGGCGTCCACGACCGCCGTCTGGTCAAAGCTGATCTCTGAGGGCCCCACGCAGGTTTTTAAATTTTAAGTGCACTCAGCTCTTGTTTAGGATCTCACACCGGTCTCTCAGATCGGATGGCTTATGCATGCCGCAGAGGAGCCCTTACCGGCTCATGAGGGCTCCGTGCTGATAGTTGAGGGCCCCATGCCAATACTCGAGTCACATTCAGTAATCTCAGCGCCCTACACCAGTTTGAGGAACGCCGTTCGGCCAAGGCTGACCTCCGAGGAAAAGCCCTTTGCAAGCCTCGGAGTGCCCTCACTTTCTTTTTTAGGATCTCACACCAACCTCTGAAGTCGCAGGGCTAAAAGATGCTTCTGATAACCCTCACTAGCTCGGACCCAAATCGATGCATGATGACCCGACAGAAGTGCCTGAGTAGCCCACACAGTAATCTCAGGGCTCACACCAGTTTCTGAGGGCCTACACGAACGCTTTTTGGCCAAGGTCGATGTCTCGGGGCCCTATTCAGGCATCGAGGCTACTCGGGCGCCAAGAGACGGTAGGGGACCTTCAGGCGAGCTTGCTTGGTAGTAGTTGGTACCCCATGGAGCCGGCGAACGGTGTCAAAGAGCCCGGTGTGGGGGCCCAAGAAGCGGCGTGGGCATCCATATTTCTATGTACATGAGGTATTCCAGAGGCCGTTATGGGACCTTCAAAGACCGTGTGCGGTGCGCCGGTGACCCTTAGAATTGCCGGTCTCAGGAGCTGGCGTGCGGCCTTTATGGGCCCCAAAGCCAGCGTGTGGGCCGTAGAGCAATGGGGAAGCTAAGGGGGCCGGAGGCCAGACCCCCATAGGTCATAGGGGCCAAATCGATGGGCCCAAACATCACGCCGGCCGTATCTTATTTTAAACTAATTCATTAATCCATGATAAAAAGAAGTGTACCAACATCAACTGTGCAAAAGGGCTCTCTGAGACCCGTAGGGGCCCTTGAAGGTCACTGTAAGCCTTTAGGGGCCTGTTTGGGAAAATCAGAGATCAATTTGGATCACGTTGCATGCATGCATGTGCATTTACTCTGCTAATGCATCTCCTGACAGTAAGATGCTCGCTCAGTCATCTTACGACCGTCAATTTTGAAGGTTTTCCCGCCCCGCTTCCTTAGAACCGGCTTATTCCGGAGCAGTGGCGGCGCTGACTTTTTGGAAGGGGCCCGGCGTGAGATGGGGGCCCAATCGCCACATCTTGCACACCCTACGAGAATTTGAATCCGCGGTCCCTGTTGAGCATTGGACATATCGGTATCTCGAAGGTATCGGCAGCCCGCTAGGTCGCGTTATCACCGACTATCGCATACCTTCAGCACGTATGTGGCGCTGTTACAGCCGACAGCTTGTAGGATAGGCGAAATACACTTGACACTAGGCTTTTCTACACAAAATCGATTTCCTTTCGAGTCTCTTTAATCACTTACTTGTAAGCATTCACTGCTTTACGAGTATGATACTTAAGGCAATCTGTCAGACCACTTCCAATTCCCTCAAACAATCTAATCTGGTGATTCGCAGAGGCTCATGCGTGATAATAGTTATTCATTGGCTAATTTTTGGCGTTTTTTATCACGGCTCAACCATTACCCGACTCTCTATCAGCAAAGACTTGATCTATAGTTAGATGATTAGTGTGAGGATTATCATTACATTAGATTCACATTGTTTGAACTAAAATTGCGCCGAATTGAGAGCTTGACATTCGATGACTTCGATGACCTGACCTTTTATATGACCTAAAATGGCTGAAGCAATTTTGCTATGATTTTTGTCCACCTTTTTAAACGCCGTTTAATGTTTATGGCTACGGTTAAACGATCTGGGCAATAAAGACGCCCTCGGCCACTTCGTATTCCACACAAGCTACCGCCTTGGCGCAGGTTAAAATGATTTACACCAATATTGCATGAGCTGAGAATGCTAGCCTCGTCCGTCGCTCCTCAATGGTCAAAAGTGGGTGATAGCGAGCAACCACAAGGCTCATTTTTCCGTTCATGAGCTTCAGAATGTCATCGCTTCGAAACTTCAGAAGTTAGGTGGTTTTCGAAGTTCAGAAGTTTAGAAAGTTTGCAGCTTTAAAGAGCAACAGGCCTTCTTTGCGAGGCCACTCCACAACTTTAGACATGCACGACGTCTCCCTAAGCTCTGTGTTCCTCCCTTACGGTAGCTGTGCCCTGCATGTCCGAGTCAGACACCGGCGCCAGGGGACGCGTGGGCTTTCACGCTGATGCAACAACCCGATTCCCGGCACAATTAATAGATCTGTGGGGCGATAATACTTGTATTCGGCCCACTTGGCAACTGGCAATCAGGGCAGCTAATGTTCACTCTAGCCCACACTTTCGCCACTCATGCACATAATATATTTTTGCAGCCGCTATCGCTTATGTCATAGATAACATGAACTACTTATGCATATTGCTTTGTGCTTGGATTAGCTATGCTAGCGTCAACGGACGATCCAAGGACTTTAAAAAAAAAATGCGGTAAGACATGAGGGAGGATCGAGGATATTCATTATTCGCAATGCGCTCGTTTTGTGCTTCTCGTTTTTCATACTGGCAGCAGCTAGCTAACATCGAACAGTTTTTCGACCCGGAACTTTTGTACCTACCAATTTGCGCTTTTATTTTACTTGTTTTGCCCACCGACGTCCGACTCCAAACTCCAGGCTATAACGTCTGCCCGAGTAGCGATGTAGAGCAGCCATGTTCCATGACATCGTGCAGGCTGCTCACAGCGAGTGATGAGCACGGTGACGATAGATTTCACGGACCGGACGCCGAACTGTGACACTGCATCGGCTAGCACTAGTCTGACACCGCTGTGTCAGTACATAGTGTCAGTCTGTCATTTCACTGACACTATCCGACAAAATCGATAGGCCGTCTTCTGCAGCACCTGGAAGTTGGTCTCTAGATTTGAGCGAGACTTTCCATTAGCCTGTCAAGAGCACCATCTTTGCAGACTCCCGTCATATTGACCAGACTTTTAAAGCGCTGGATAAAATGCTTTCAAGAGTTGCCGCCTTTTTTAGGTACACTGGATAGCTGCTGAAAATTGCTTAACCCGCGCCCCACTGGGGGGGGCTATTTATAGCCCCCCCTCCCGTTTTTTCTGCAATAACTTCAAAACCGCTTGACGGATCGACGCCAAACTTACAGTACCTTTGGCTGCATCAATTTGACACCTTGTGTCAAAATTTGAACTTCGTAGCTACCATAGGTCGGCCGGAAATGACGTCAGAGTGACGTCATGTTCGGCCGATTTCGACGCAAAACATTGAACCACGGCAATCGCTCCCAAGAGCTCAGTTTTTAAGCTAGATCCAATTTCTTTGCATGAAAGAACTCAGAATTGACCGCGCTATCAAACTGCTATCTCGAATTTTCAAAATTTTGAAAATTTCAAAAATTTGATATAATAATATTCAAAATATGTATTTTTATATTTTTTCAAAAAGTTTTTGACTTTTCGAAAAAACCGGAATATATGTGACACAACGCTTGATTATGACTAACTCTAGCAAGTTTTAGCTA